TGGGATCGAGGATCACATCAGGCTCTCTGCTCAGCGGGGAACCTGCTTCCCCCTCTCTCTCTGCCTGCCTCTCTGCCTACTTGTGATCTCTCTCTGTCAAATAAATAAATAAAATCTTTAAAAAAAAAAATAGATCACTAGAAACAGAACAGTGAGGAGAAAAAAAGCCATCATTGCAAAAGGAGGAAACTAGTCAATGGGATTAGAGTTTATTAAAAGAATAAAAACCGGGGCACCTGGGTGGCTCAGTGGGTTAAAGCCTCTGCCTTCAGCTCAGGTCGTGATCCCAGGGTCCTGGGATCGAGCCCCGTATCGGGCTCTCTGCTCAGTGGGGAGCCTGCTTCCTCCTCTCTCTCTCTCTCTCTGCCTGCCTCTCCACCTACTTGTGATCTCTCTCTCTGTCAAATAAATAAAAATCTCAAAAAAAAAAAAATTAAAAAAAAAAAAAAAGAATAAAAACCAGGACTTAAATTAAGGCTCAGACTTAACCTACACATAGAGCTCCACCCCATAAAGAATAAACAATAGAGGAAGAGTTCTAGAATTTTCCCTAGCTACACACAGTTTCCTACAGAATAGCACATGTGTAATTGTCCTATTGTGATACTCTACTTTCATGCCATTGGTAGTTTGAGTGTCCTTGCATGTCCCCCCAACTGTGTTACTCAGTGCTTACTACATCCCACCTGGTCACCCAAGCCTCAAAAGGACCACATTCTAGAGCTCATGTCCCAACGGACTAGGAAAATAATGTGCATTTTCTGGGCCTCCCTCATGCTTTCCATGGAGCTTGTACTTTAAACTCCCATTGAATTGTATAGTCTAATGGTCTTTCTCAAGGCCCAGGGGGACTATTGGGCTGGTCAATGTCAGTGTGATTTAAGGGGCATTTATTTAAAAGGCATTGAGTAACATCAGTGGGGAAGGGGATACTTGTCTGTGAAAATATCAGGGCATTGACTATGGAAACAGAAGGGTAAAGTGCCAAGCAAAAGTTATACAATTCAGCCTTGGGAAGAGAAGTGAAGTCCAAAATCTACCAGCCTCAGAAAGGTCTCCTCGTCAATCCAAGCCAAGCAGGCGAGTCTCTAAAGGAAGGGGTTAATGAGGACACCTTAGAACATACGCCTGACTAGATTCTCCTCTGAATTGACACAGAGGTCTCAAGGGAAATGCTAAAGCTATTAAGAGGACATTAGGAATACATTCTTGGCTTCCTTAGAAGCTTCTCCCTTAATGAGTTCAAACTAAATACATTTATAAACTGTACCCAAGGTTTTTCTTAGGTGAAGTATCCATATTACTCAGCATCTCTGGAGCCACAATGACATTTCTGGGAAGGAACAAATAGCATTTCTTCCTTAGGCTTTCACAATTGGTACAGATGCCAAAAGATGAAGAAAAATATTGGGAAAAAAAAATCTATCGTTTTAACTTTTCTGTACAAGGCTTTAACATTATCGATGAGGCTCACATAATCTGGTTTCTCATAGATGTACAGACTGAAAACCACTGAGCTGAGCGCCCATCTTACACCTACCAATCCCCTACTAATCTTCACCATCTTCAATTAAGATTCCATTCTTCAACTTCCCCATAGACTTCTCCATGAAGTACCTACAACCTTGAGGCACCTGATTCACCCTAAATCACTGGAAAGCATGGCATATCACTGGTGGGAGTAAGTGGGAGAACTAGCACTTTAATATTCTATGAAATGTTCTGAAAGGCATATACAAATATGCACCCAGCATTTATCTCGTGTACTTCATTTTAAGTCATTCAAATGAAGACAAAGATAAAATATTCAATTTAGTCTGAAGGCCAGTTGAAGATCCTTACCAAGCTAAGAAAATCTGACATTCATGTGACATCAGTAGCACATGACTAGTTAGTGGAGACTCAAGGAAGCAGATTACAGAGTGTCCACAGCCTTCCTACTTAGACCAAGAGAGGAAAAAACACACATCAACTCATTAAAGAGTGAACAATTCCTTAAGACCACTAAATAGGAAGAGGAGAGTGGCCGTTCCTCAACCAATTTCCAATGATTAATACTGTATTTTTCATTAAATGGGAACAGATAAAGCTCCAAGGACCTAAGGACCTCATTAGATCACTAAAAGGAAGCAACTTTTAGCCAAAAGTACACACAGCCTCCCCATAATACGACATTATACCTAGAAATCGCTGATATCCTGGAATTTTTAATGAATACTTCTAATCACTTAATAATTTTTAAATGTCCTAATTTTCACTAACATTGAATTATACATATCTTTAAGGAAGGCAGAAGAGCACAGTGGCTGAAAGTCCAGATCTCCTTACTCATCTATAAATTCATTTTCTCACCATAGCCAGAAACAAAATATATCAATTACTATCATCATACAGTATAAGTATTTGGAAAAGTATTTTTTAATATTGAAAAGAAAGTAAAGTGTCTCCTCTCCTTAAACATGACCTTTCCAGATCAGCCTAAGCCAGTTAACTTGGGAGAAGGAAAACATATCAGCCTATATTAATCCTTTCCAGCTTCCACTGCACTGTTTAATCCAAAAACCACCTTTTAAAAGCATATGGGTCACCACTTATATTAAAGTGACAAAATATGAAATTAAACATTTCTTATCAATAGTGATCCTCTACTGTATTGTCAGAGATGGAATTCTAAATCACAGCTCAAGCTTTTAGTCAAACTGACAATTACAATGCAAATATTCAGGCTCTGGTTTCTCAAGAACAGGGATGGGAAGCAATCTTCCTCTCCCTCTTTGTAATTTTATGCATTCTGCAAAGAAAGAAGAAAATAAGTATGGAAAATTTCTCTAATTTTCTCTTGCAAAAAAGAACAATTGTCTATTCTTATGCTCACCAGATGCAATTTACTTTGAGAACAAATGTATAAAAATCAAGGTTTAAAAAAGAAGGCTACCCACATGCTGTATCTAATTATTCAACAAAGTATCCTCTTCAAAGTAATTACCTACTAACAAGGGTATGCCTCCTTTTGTGAAATAGAGGAAAAAGGAATTTTAGAAAACAAAAGTAGATTTTCTATTGCTTACATTATAATTTCAGGGTTGCCATTTTTGCACCTAGTTTTCAATTGGTAGTATCTCCTAATAATTAAAATTTTTTTTAATCCTCCAATATATAAGGGTCAATGATCTTCAAGCACATATACGTGCATTTATAGAACACTTTTAGAGAAAATCATTTTGTAAAAGAAAAAGAAATCCTTTTTATAATCTTTTATTTTGTCTCGATTTTTTATAGTTTATGTATAGATCTAAGACACATTTAAAGGAAATTCAACAAATCAATTTTCTATAATGATAGTAATAAAACATAACCAACATAATACAATGAAATTTACAAATCTACACCATTAATTAATTAAAGGAAAAAGCAAAGCCTTTCCTCACAGTATAAATCCAATTAATAAATGCAGAAAAAGTGATAGAATGTGTTAAAAAAAAGAAATACGATTTAGCATCACTTATAGTAATAACTGTTTCATGAAAGAATATTAATAAATGTTAAAATATATGGGTGAAAATATGATAATAAGCTATTTTCAAGTTTCAAAGAATCTCCACATAAAATAAATACTTAAAAAGGCATATTATTAAGATTTACAGTGGAGAAATTTGGCAGACAACACTTTAACCAAGTGTTCAGTTTTCACCAGTAATGGGACATTTATATGCCTTCTAATAAGATATCCTGGGAAGAATGCAACACCAATTCTCTCTGTTTCCTGCCAAAAGTCCATCACGTGAATCTGATTTTAGTCATGAGACAGCATCAACAAACCAAAATGCAAGACTTCTACAAAGGGACTGGCCAGTACTCTGCAAAGTTGTCAAGGTCATAAATGACAAAGAAAAAGTGAAAAAAACTGTTCCAGATCAAAGGAGACTAAAGAGACACATGGTCAAACGCAGTATGTGACCCTGTATTATAGCCTGGACCAGAAAAGGATGTTAGTGGTTAAAAGTGAATAAAAACTATAGATTATATCATAGTATTAATCCAGTATTAAATTCCTATGATTATGGAAGAAAATGTGCACACAATATTATTTAGGTGTAGAAGTATTTACATCACGTCTGCAACTAGCTCAAAAAATTATGTATATGTAATATATAACTTATACATTATTATTATTATTATTATTATAACATACATATAAAATGTGAATATTGGAGCGATCTAGGTAAAGGGTATACAGAAATCCTTTGTTCTAGTTTTTCGACTTCCTCCTAAGTCTGAAATTTCAAAATAAAAAAGATACCTAAAAGGTAAGCAATCTCAGTTTTGGAATGGTATGACCATAGTCTAGTCCAGGGGTTGGCAAACTTTCTATAAAAGGGCCAGAAAGTCAATACTTTGGGCTTTGTGGGTTAGATGGTCTCTTTTAACAACTCCTCAGTGCTGCCACAGTGTCAAAAGACCACCCACAAACAGTAAATGAACAAATGGCTATGTTCCAATAAAACTTTATTTACAAAAACTAGGCAATGGGCCACATTTGGCCCAGTGGCCATAGTTTGCTGACCCCTGGGGTCTAGTTCACGCCAAGGAAAATTGATCAGAATAATCATACTTTCAGTTAACATTTTTGAGCACATGCCAGATATTAAGTGCTTTATTATACTATACTAAGTGCTCTACAAGCATTAACTCATTTATCCTCACACCAACATGATTAGGTAAATACTATTACTATTTCCATTTTCCACAGAGGAAATGGCCTAGAAAAGCGAAGGAATTTGCCCAAGGTCACCACAGCCAGCAAGCAGTAGACTTTGGGTTTGAACCAGATACAGCTATCTTCACACACTGAACTAGATAACATACATGCTATACTTCTCAGATGCACTGAAATATACATGCAATGACCAAGGAACTCTAACAATTTTAACAATGGCTAAATAAGTGTCCAAACTATCCGAACTCAAGATTTACATTCTGAGAAAGTATTTTTCACAAACCTCTTGTAGCTGCAAAGAAATAACTCCCAGCTGATCCTGACGTTTTTCCACCAGCTCTCTTTCTGTGCGCATCTCTCTTTCTATTTCCTGAAGCCGTCGTTCCACCCGATCTGAAACCTTAACGTGAAGAGACAGAAACAGTGACATTACAGAGCTGTTAGGCAAAAAAAGAATATACTGAAGAGATATTTTATGCCAGATACACTACCACCTAAGCATTTAAAAATGGCTTGTTTATAGCGTCCTTTTTAATGCTATTATAACACAGATCACCAAAAAACAAAAATGGACTGAAAGTTACAAAAGAAAACAATCATTAGCCTCTAAATAATCCAAACCTGGATCCCAATAAAGGACTTAAATCTTTCAAAGTATAATAATTCAATAGAACAGAATTAAAATATACTAGAAAAGAGTGCCCTCTGGTGAAGTAGAAGGGAAATACCAAGTTTGCCAACAACAGCATTTTTTATTCTATTAATGATAAACTGTTCTATTTAGTTCTTTTTCATTTTAATTTTCTATAAACATGACCTGCCTAGAAAAGTTTTGATGTCTATGAACAGCAAATAATTAAATGTGTTTTTCATTAGCTTGTCAATCTTTTCTACTGTGATCTACAGAAAATAAACCAGCTGTAAAAGATCAAAAACTAAAGTCAAACAGAAAAATGTTTAATTGGGACTCTCTAAAATAAACATAAAAGAATGTTTTCTCTGATGCAAGATTTTCCTTGCTAAAAGTTGTACAAATTCAAATACATTTCATGCATATCATCATACAGTCCCCTAAATAAAATTTACCTATTTGATGATGTGCATATTTCATGCAGGAAGCTATCGGAGGATAAAAGACATTTGGGTTCATTTAAGAGAAGCAATAAACATAGCCCTGTAATTAGAAATCTTTTGCTAACAATTCTATACAGCCAGAAGGGTCCTGGTCACAAGGAGTCTTACTGGGGCAACAGAAATGTTCTAAACTGGACCACGGTGATGATTACACAACTCAGTACATTTGCTAAAAAGCACTGAATTGTGCACATAAAGCAGGTTAACTTTATGATAAATTATACATCAAATCAATTTTTTTAAATGACACTGGTAAACATAAGTTTAGTTAATAAAACCTGAGCAAAAATATTCTATCAAAAAAATTAGCAGCTAATATTTACTAAGAATGAAAATTCTTGGTTTTCTACCTTTTTTTGCTTAAAAACAATTAAGATATTTACTCTGAGAGTGTTTTACTAAAAACTCAAAATACCATTCAGCATCAAGCTTCTGATTTATCATAGTAATCAACTTTAATACCCCAATAAATAATTTACTACTGCATCTGAAATAAATGTAGTACCTACTGTAAAAGTAAATAATATTGGAGAAATACTAAAAAATAAAAGCTTGTTGATTTATGCAATTTTTACAAAATGGAAATACCTTTATAGTTCACTCTGAATATAAAAATTAATTAATAGCGAATGGAGAGGGTGGTTGGGTTATAAACATTGGGGAGGGTATGTGATATGGTGAGTGCTGTGATGTGTGTAAGCTGACGATACACAGACCTGTACCCCGGGGGCAAGTAACACTTCATATGTTAATAAAAATAATTAATTTTAAAAAGTAATTAATAGCAAAACTTATCAGAAAAAAAATACAGGATCATCTCAAACTCATTAGGGTGGCTGCTATCAAAAACAAACAAAATCAAAAAAACAGGAAATAACAAGTGTTGGAGAGAAAGTGGAACCCTGATACACTGTTTAGTAGGAATATAAAATTGTACAGATCATATGGAAAACAATATGTTGATTCTTTTAAAAAGACTGAAAATAGAGTTACCAGCAATTCCATTTCTAGGCATATACCCAAAAGAATTGAAAGAGGGTCTTGAAGAGATATTTGTAGATGCATGTTTATAGCAGCATTATTCACAATAGCCAAAAGATGGAAGCAACCCAAGTGTCCGCTGACAGATAAATGGATCAACCAAATGTGGTCACACATACAATGGCGTATTATCCAGTCTTAAAAAGGAACAAACTTTTTATCCATGCTACAAAATGGATAAACTTTGGAGACACTATGCTAAGTGAAATAAGCCAATCACAAATGGACAAATATACTGTATCATTCCTCTTAAATGAGATACCTGGAGTAGTCAAAGTTATGGAGACAGAAAGTTGAAAGGTGATGTCCAGGGACTGGAAAAAGGGTATCATGGAAAGTTGTTGCTTAATGGGTGTAGTTTCAGTTTTGCAAGGTAAAAAGAATTCTAAAACAGTGAATGTGCATAACACTACTTAACATTTAAAAGTGATACAGTGATAGGGTTGCCTGGCCAGTGCCCCAGTTGTTTCAGCATCAGACTCTTAGTCTTTGCTCATGTCAGGATATCATGGGTTGTGAGATCAAGCCCAACATAGGGCCTTGCGCTCAGCGAGGAATCTGCTTAAGACTCACTCTCCTCTCTCATACCCCACAACTCAGGTGCGCTCTCTCTCCCTCACTCTCAACTTAAACTAAAGCTTAAAAATAAAATAAATCTTTAAAAAAAAAAAAAAAGTGAGGAGTACTTGGGTGACTTAGTCAGTTAGGCATCTGCCTTCGGTCCAGGTCAGGATCCCAGAGTCCTGCGATCAAGCCCTGGGGTCTGGCTCCCTGCTCAGTGGTGAGTCTGCTTCTCCTTCTCCCTCTGTGCCTCCCCACTCCATCTCTTTCTCTCTCTCAAATAAGTCAATAAAATCTTTTAAAAGTGATATGATGGTAAATTTTGCCACAGTTAAAAATAAATAATAAAGAATGATAAAAAGAAATAAATACAATCTGCTAATACCACCCATGAAGAGAAAAACACTGATAGTGTATGGTTGTATACTCTCAGAAATTTTTCTCTGCATATGTGCATGACTAGCCAAACACGTATCCAGTTCACTTCTTTAAAAATGAGGTGTTATACATAATATTTTATATGTTTTTGGCAGTTGACATATCATGGGTAACTTTCCATGACAACAAATCACATCCTTTTTCTTAACAAACGCATAGTTTGCCCTAATTGATTAAAATAATTCCTACTATCAGTATCCTACTGATAATGGGATAACATTTATTTTTACTAATAGATGCTACGGCAAATACTCCAATATAGGATAATTTTTATAAATTCAAGAAACAATCTTTAAATGGCACTGTTGAATCAAAAGGAATGAATCACTTATTAGAAAAAAAAACACAAAATAAGATAAAAACTTGGGAGATATTTTGGATTTTTATCCAAATCCTTTACTCTAAAAAGAAGACTCAGGAGATGAAGTTATTAACCAGAGGTGACACAACTGATCAGTGAGAAAAATAAGCCTAATGCAGGTCTCCCTTTCCAGCAGCATCTTATAAGTCCCAGGTCCATTTTCATGCATTCATTCAATAAACATGCATTGACACTCATTTGTTCCAGTTGTTGTGGTAGGTAGGTATCGGGTTTAAAATCCACTTCAATAAATATTTGTTATCTATTCTGTTGTTGTAATCTATGCAATAACCATGTTATCCTAAATGCAGTGTTGACAGAATTCTGAGTTCAATTAATGACCAACTCTTCCAGAAACAGCTAGATCCATGTTTAGATTTTTAATTTAAATAGTGGCCCTCCTATAGGAAACTAAAATAAAATTGACTTTTCTTCCATGAATAATCAAACTTAATAAGTATTCATATCACACTCAAATGGGTAGAATCTAGACAACTAATGAACTGAAATTTCCCCTGTGGTATGAGGCCCATGCAATATTGATTGTTACCAAAATTAAATCTTAATGGAAACTATTTTCCATAATATGTTATAAATAATAACTACGCCCTTCTAATGGGAAGTATAAAAGAAACTAAACAAACAAAAGTCTATGAATCATAAAGGATTAACAAATCAAATCTTGGCATGTCTGATAGGAACCAACACTTTTGCCTCTCTGAGAAAACTGTGTCCTATAAACTTTCAAGATATATTTTAGTTATTGAGAAAATGCATGATAAACAGCTATAGCCTCAGAGTAATGCACAATAAAAGTGAATAACAGTATGTACCAAAGAAACTGAAATTGGTGAGAGATAGTGGCAGTCGTTCATTTTTCTTTATGTATTTGCACAACATTTTAAAGTTTTCCACAGTGAATGTGCATCACTTTGGTAATTTTAATTCAAACTTAAATCTGGAGAGGGGAAACAGCTGCAGCCTCTGAGAAGTTTAACATTTTGTTATTTACAAAACTAAATGTTCTCTGACAGCATGCTATCATGAATTCACAAATACAACACAATATGTCAAAGTTATAAAATGTAAACGTTGACTTCAATTGGAATAAGTGAATTAGAAAATCTATATTAAGCCTTGTATAAATTGGAAACAAACATCATGTGGCCTTCAGAAGATCTTCCAAAATTCAAGAATATTATTTTTAAGTTTGGCATTAGACAATTTTTCTCAATCAGGACTACATACACCCATATGAGGTATGAGATGCCCTCAATTAGGAGATACCCCTACTTTGAAAGCAAATTACAGAAAACTCAAAACAAGCTATAGCAATACAACTTGATGGGAGGAACTAGCAGTTGAACAATTCAACTTCATAATTAAGTGTGTATAATTTTCCAGGTTTAGACACTATAAAAGAATACATCCTGATGAGCTAGGCACACTGCGCAGTTAGGTAAACTGGGGAACTGTATACACCAATTACACCAATGAGCTGAGCACTAGTGAGGTGTGACATCCAGTTGTTCAATCATAGCTCTAAAATACAGTAATTCTTAATACATGGTAATAACGATAAAAGAAGTGAACATTCTGTGAATTCAGCTGTTAACTTTTAGCTCAGTAATTACATTTCAGACCCCCATCAACACTCTTGACTGCAGATAGTAGTTACTAGTTTTATTTGCTATATAAAAGAAATAAAAATGAAGTAACTCTTCATTATGGGTTCTTTGTAAGCAGTGAAAGGTAAAACATTAACAAATGTAATGTGCACCATGCGACTTAGTATTTTCAAATTCCAAACTCAAACTATCCTGACTAACAACATCAAAAAGCAGCATGACAGTAAAACTGTCCAT